TCTGGATGTTGAGAAACATTGAACCAGTCCGTCCCGCGGCGCGTAGCAAACATTTTTTTTTGGCCCTCTGATGTATTTGACTTTGACATGCCTGCACTAGAGCGAAGGTTGGGTCAAGAATGTGAGAATGTCATTAATGATAGAGAAAGTAAAAAACGTTTATCTACTGCCCCTTTAACTATGAAGAATCTAACGGTTTATGATGAGTTTCTTTGAGGGCATATTTACAATGATTCTCCACGCCATGGGACCCAGACTTCAGGATTCTCACACAGCAGCAGACATGAGTAATTGAGTGGAGGCGTGAGAGGCCCAGAGTCGGATCACTTTACATCCCTGTGCTTTATCTAGTGTCCCAAGACAGTCCTGGGGGGGAACTGTGTGTAACTTTGACAGCTGTTAATACCACTACCGGGGGAGACTTTAAACGTGACACACAATTTTTTACCTGCACTCATCAAAACTGCAGAGTGCCCTGACTTTTGCCCCGCACAAAGTGTTCCCGTCAGTCATCCTCAGCTCTCGCACAAGTGGAAACGGAGGCTTAAGCATTGAAGTACAAAAACTTTCTTTTGATGGCGGCCCGTGAAGTATGTCTTAGAGCTTTTTGCATTCCTCGCTTTAAAAGAAACATTTTTAGTCTCTGCCCGATGGTCTGGACTGTTGCGGGCTGAGTCAGGATTTGGGTGGGCTCCGGCAGAGCTTGGGGTCCTAGATAGGGCGACTCAGAAGCCTGCGGTGCAACTGCAAACAGCCAGGGAAAGAAATCAAAAGCTGTTTCTGCAAGATAAAGACAGACAGAATGTGATCAGATTGAACAGAGAAAGAGTGTCGACTTCAACAGTTTAGTTTTAGTTTTGAATTACTATGTAGAACAGGGATGTCAAAGTCAAACACATTTTCTGCAAGCTGAGGGCTGGACTGGTTCCATTCTTATTAAAACATATTAAAATGATTGCATGAAACCTACTGAACCAGGACCTAACCCAGTGCGTCATAGTTTGTTTAAAGGTATAAAGGAGGATTTTCTACTTCCGGGTGGATCAACAAGACTACTGCTCGTCAAATAAGACCAAAGAGTTTTGTTCAAAAAGTGGAGAGGGCGGTTCTTTCCTAGCCTGGCCTTATCATCATTTCCTGCATGTAACGTCTGGGACTGGTCCCTGTGTTTGCGATTACATCGGCCAAATTCCATCCGACGAATCAGCGAGCGCGGGAGGCGGGTTTGTAGTTAGTTGTAGGTGACGTCAAGAGTTTGCGTCAAAGGGGCAGGTTGTAGTTTGGCAATGGTGAAAAATGTGATAGTAAAGTATTCCGGTCTGGTTCTATCAAGAAATTGAAGACGGAGCAAGAGGAATGTTTAGAAAATGTAACCGCTGGCAAAAATTGTGATGCTACTCCCCCCCTTAGTGGCAAAGGAGATGGCTAGGCTAAATGCTAAATGCTAAATGCTCAGATCTAATCATTTCAATCTGCAAAAGGAGTTAACCCCTCCCACCTGTAAACGGAGCCCAATGGAGCACCTCCAGACCGTAGAAATGTAATATGTACTATGGTGTGGTACGACCAGGCTAGTTCTTTCTTAAAATTTGGGGAAATCTTACTATATACCTTTAAACGATTAAATGAATAGTCCAATGTTTCTTATGGCCATGTGTGGGCCGGTTCTAATAATAATCAAATATCATCCCAGGGGCCTTGACTTTAACACCCCTGATGTGGGGTTTGTCGATTCCAATTAAAGCAGGGGTTACAGTTAGTTTGGATATTGTTTCTGTGTTTGATCTGGTTTTTACCAGTTTGCTTACATGAACTGATCTGATCTTTGTTTTTGGGATTTCGGCGGTTTTGTAAAGTCCTCTGAGATAAACTACTGCTGTGATTTAGGGATATACAAGACTACATTGAGTTGATTTGAGGTCCTATAGTCCCCTGGGAAAAAAAGAAAAAAAAAAAAACGTCCTGGGAAAAATAACCTGGGGCCTATAAATATCTAATGTACATGGAGCGAGGTCGCAAGATGTTCGATTTATACATGCGTTTGAATCTATCGATACTTGTATGAGAATCATCGATACTTTTGAGGAATGGAATATACTCGACAGCTTTTGCACAAAAAAATAAAAAAGCTTTGCAAAGTACAACTTCTTCGCTGCTTTCCTCCTGTAATTAAACTGTCATACTAGATAACCTAACCTTCTTTTCTGTTGGTGATTTCTTATTCATATCACATAAATGTCTTGAATTGTTTGTAGTTGCTAAAGAAGTAATTTGTATAATGTTTGTCTAAATGGCAAAGATTTTATTTAAATACTCAATACTAAATAAAAACTTGTGTGTGTTTAGTGTTAGTCTGCACGAGTCCCTTTTGCAAGAGAGAGTGGTTCCCATTGGTTTTTCATCCATAAATCAGCATCTTTTGTTTTTTCTCCTTTTTACCAGTACTACTTCCTCCACCATAAATTTCTGTGATCTGTCTCTTAATAAAAATCTCTCATCCTGTTCTACCATAAATCTATCTGCTTTGAATCGGATGTTTTTCATTTCATAATTCTTCTCATAATCCATGCACTAAATTTTTTTCCCCTTCCGACTATCGAGCTGTAGTCTGGTTTGTGGGTGTCAAACCCTTGTTTTCCATAAATAAACCCTGAAATTGTCTGCATCTTTATCCATAAAATCTGCTGTCTCATATAAGAAGAGTCCCACCATGTCCCAGTCCACTTTCACAAACTATGCCAAACACATCAATTATCAACTACACTACCAAACCCAAATAACATACAATAAAGCCACAATTAACTTAGAACCCCACCCCTAACCAAAGCTCCACCAACCAACAGTTATACATAAACAATTTTTTAATAAATGATTTTAAATACAATACTTAAAAACACCTAATATATGTTAAATACTAACTATTTATTACCAATAACCCCCATAAAAGAACTAAACTTTACATATTCAAAACTATTTACCCCATTTTATTATACCCAAAAGCCCCCTTTTTACCACCTAACCAAACACAAAATAACATTACATACTATTTTACTTACTAACTAAAAACACTTAACAAACCCAAACGCCTTTACACCAACAATTAAAACCATAAATTAACAATAAATAACATAAACACCAAGAACCATATATACTTATAAACTATACCACATTACCAAAATTATTAGCAAACATTATGTACCAACTCACCCCGTACTCACCCACTAAACATATAGCCATATAAACTACACATTTAAACACTAAATATTATACCACTTAAAATTCATTACCCCACAACAATTACCACCAACAAAGCCCCAAACGCCCTAAAACACCCCCTAAAGAAGGTTAAAACAAACTAAACCTCCCCTTTATAACACACCCTACAACTACCCACGACAACACCTAAAGTCCCCTATTTTAAAAAACCCACAAAGCTAAAAGAAAGTAGCCCTCCCCCCAAAAGTAACCCCCTACCACCAAGCATATTAACCCCAAACCAACCAAAAGCCCCCCTCGAGCCTCCCGGAGTGCTGCAGGGCCATGCGGAACTGATCATCGATCACCGGTTCTGGACAGTCTGCCGCTGCAGTATATGTCGTACCCCAGAGCAGGCCTCTTTGGTGCTAAGGGGTTAGGCCACTCAGTGTCGCGGTATATGGTACGAACAGGTCGTCCGCCGGGCACACGTGGGTTTGCATCTCCTCCTTCCTCGAGTGGTGGCACCCACAGAGGTGAGTCCCTCACCGTTCTGGATCCAGCGACGAGTTCGACGCCGGAGGGCGAAGGGACACTCGGACGAAAAAGAAGACATCTCAGAATGAAGTAAGTACTGTGGTAGATCTCGAACGGCGCCAGAGTCTTTCAGACGTGAAAGAGGGGGTGCGGCTTGTGCAGGGGCATTTTAGAGGAAGGTGACTGGAGATTGGAAGCAAATTATTTTGATCTCTCTGGAGTGTGACCAGGGGGTCACGAGTGATATCCACTAGCGAAAAAGTCCTAAGGGACGTAGCACCCTACGTAGATCGTGTTGTTTTACATGAATGTCTGTCATAAATGTGAGGAAAATGTGCTAAATGTGGGAAAGTGAGCTACATGTAGAAAAATGTTCAGCTATAAATTTTAACAGAAATTTTTACAATCGGCACCATTACGAAAACTGATGTTTTTGATCACATTTTGAGTTGTTTCCAAAATCTCCAATTTTGCGTTTGGCCACTTTTCAGTTCAGTCTCCAATTCTAGTTGTCCGTTTCTCTCCTTATTTCATCCTTGCTTTGCAACTAATTCAAGCTTTAGTTTGTGTTTCCTTCGCTCCAGAAAGTGTCTTTTGTTTTAACGTTGCATACGCTCCGTAGTGCTGCCGAACGTTGTGCTTATATTTTTGCAGAGGAATGTGGATGACGTTTTGACAGTTTAGAGACGGCATTTGAGGTGCGCTTGCGACTAACATTTGAGCACTGTCTCTTGGTCCACTCCTCACATTTGTCTCGTTTTTCCTCTTTATTTGCGGTTGGCAGTTATATGAATGTCGGTATTAGACAGCCAGATTATTAACATCCACAATGAAGTTGAAAATGTCATTTTCTTTAGCGTCAAAATATGTTTATTTGCTGTCTCTTTCTTCTGTTGGCAGAAGATCCAGTGTCATAAATGATTCATCGTTGTTTCTTTGCTTCTTCAACAGATTTTATCTTTGATCCAAAATAGGTTTTCACTGCATAAAACATTGTCACGTGTCTTGCATTACATTACAGACTTGGTTCATGTACTTTTTTGCTTGTTCTTGAAATACGTGGATCTTTTATCCTGTCACGTCTGCATGAAATACATGATTCTTTTGTATGGTAGCTTATTCTTCTCTTTGTCGAAACTGGAATCACTCGCAACTTGTGTGAAATGTCCGACATTGTTCTTGATGGCAGTGTACGAGCAAGTCACTGTGCTTGATCGACACGTACCGTGGTGACAGACAGCGCTCTGGCTTGCAAGCTGTGGCCGTGGATGTGGCGCTCAGAGACGCTCGCTCTGAGTGAGTCCCCTGTTGCAGGCTTTGGGCCCTCCCGCAACACCGTCGTCCAATATGGAAACAATATATCCAGTCTCCAAAAACAGCAAAATGTGGCTCCAGAGCTCCTCTAGCGTCTCCGTTATCCAAGGCGGTGTCCAGAAAGAAGGGCCGTTCACTGTAGGATGACTGGGATTGAAGTTGTGCGCTGACTTTATTCCACGCCGCAAAGTATCGTCACCAAACTTGTTCCCAGCTGTGCAAGTAAATTCACGACACCAGATGAGCAAAATCATACAAAGCTCAAAGTCCACGAAAAGCCAAATAATATTCCAGGGGCGGTTTTTTAAATGTAGTGGCGATTTGTCCAACTCAAACCATGTCCACTTTAGACAGAAAACAAATCAAAAGGCACTAAGGGTTTTCAGGTTGGCTTTACGCATGGATAGAAGAAAACATAATGGCCCAAACAAAAATTGCAGTTTAGTGGGTTTATTCTCCGCAAATGGCAAACATGCTAACTGCGTCCTCCTCTCGCTTGGTTAAAAAACCATATTGCCCAAAAACGCCTGCTATACGGCCCCTTCCCCCCCCCCATCGCCTATTTATCCTCGTGACCAAATTAAATTTAACATAAGAATAATTTAACCCCAAAATTATCTTTGCAACTAAGAAAAAATAATTACTAATGTAGATCATAATTAGTAATCAAAATAAACAAATAGCTCTAACATAAGGAGCTTTGCACAGATGATGAAATGGTCATTAAATAGTTACTGATGGTGTAGACTGTCCAGTAACAGCAGTACCTTTTACTATCTATAATAATATGGTGTCCATTCTTTGTTTTCCTCTTCCAGTGGTTAGTCTATGCTTTTCCACAACACTGGGCAAATTGCTAACTTTTAATTGGGGATTTGGCCTGCAGAGGGCGCTTATCTATATTTCACATTTCAAAAACATAACACAAAAGCATATATTCTCAATATGACTTTGTAAATGGTTCAAAAAAACACTGCATAATATTTGTTCTTTTACCTGTACTTGTTCATGTGTTGTCTCTCAGGGTCTCCCGTTAGTTCCCATAATGTATCTGAGAGTGTGTGTTTTTGTATTTATTGTGGTCAGAGGCGGGAGATGGAGGACGTGCAGACGCTGTTGCACCGAGGGCGTGCTGTCCTCCACAAAGTACTCAGGCCCCTCTCTCCGAACGGGTTGGAGGGCCCTCGCTTGGGGGTTCTTGGTGGAGGGATTTTGCGGTGATCGGTGTGGAGTAGGTCGTCCTTTGCCGTTGGTGTCACCTAACCTGAGGACGAGACAGATTGGTGGCGAATAGTTTAGTCAATTAGTGATCATTGTAAGGTTTATGCTTCATTTAGCAGAGTAAACTGACCCTCCCCTGTATACACTGACTCCTCCTCTTCCTACACTGATCCTCCTCTTATACACTGACACTCCTCTTGTACACTGATCTCCGCCCTTCCTATACAATGACTCCTCCCCCTTACACTGTCCTCCCTTCTACGCTGACTCTCATTTCTATACTGACTCCTCCCCTTCCACACATGACTCTCCCTTACACACTGCTCCTCCCTTCTTTCACTGACTCCTCCCCTTCAACACGGACTCCTCAGAGTCTCTCAGTTCTCTGCAGCTTCACGCTCCTGTTTTGAGCAGCAACTCAACTCCTCCCATCAACAGCCTCTTCACATGGAGACGTCTTGTCTTCAGAGTATATCTTATCGGTGCCGGTTGGGAGTTTTAATGGAAATGATGAGCTTGTGCCACACAGACACACATAGAGCCAAAATAAACAGTTACATAATTATGGGTATTGCTTGATAGATAATAAAATCCAAAGACACAAGACAAGAAAACAAATAAATAAAATAAAATACACAACAACAATAAAAACTCCTCTAATCTTTCAAGTGGCAGGCATACCAGTGTTTCCAAAGCAGCGATGTGTAATCGCACCTCGCTGCACACAACACTGGACAATAAAATAATCACCGAATTTTTTGAATCATTCAGCCGACATATAAACTTAAACATCAGATTTCTCAGGACAGCTTGCAAAGTGTTTACTCTATTTGACACAAAGAGATCACTGGCTCTAGTCCATCGGGCTTTTTTAATAAAATTCTCAACGCAGCAACTGTAAGTTTATGAAGGCTAGACTTTTTGTAATTAACCCACCTCGTTGTAAGCAACTGTAAGTTTATGAAGCTGGTACTTTTTGTAATTCAAACCCACAGATGTGCTGTGTAATACAGAGGTGAGTGCAGTCATCTTTTAGTCCGGCAGATCATGATTGACACATCTTAGCTAGAGTTGGTATTTCACATCCTGGAATTTCGCCCAAACTCAGAGTCAAGCATTTAGCAACTGCTGGAGACCGGCTTGAGCTCGGGCTAAACCACCACCAAGACGTCCCGCATAACATTAAGTGATTAAATTAAAGCAACCACCAACCATGCAGCCAGTATTTTGCTACAGATTCACGCTGTCTGGACAGTTCCAACGATATAGAGAAGTTAAAGAGCAATAGGGGGACAGTCAGCCACTTCCCTGTCTCACACCACTTGCATGTCGGAAATGGTTCCGAAACACATTTTGTCCCATTTGACCTGCCATAGTCTGATGAACATACCAATATGGAAAGACATCGAATAAGAGATTTTTTGTGGCACCCGCTGTAGTGACCTCCAAATTCTTAAATTAATTTTTCTGTGATTCACGGGGCGATCAAAGGCCGTTAGGAGGCATCTACAAAGACATGTAAAAACAGTGGAATTCGTTTCTTCATGAAGTTTACATAATACTTTCTTTCCGTGAAAAAATACACATATCCATTCCATGATTTGCTTTAAAACCCAATAGATTCAGTCTGTATCAGAGATAAAAATTATCAAGTCTGGTTCAAAAAAAAATATTCTACCACCCACTTTAGACATAATATGTGCCAGGGCAATAGGTCTATAAATTATCTGAGCTCCCCACTTTTCCTGCCTAAGTACCATTAATACAGGTCACTAGGGAGTACAGTCCATCATTGGGGTCAGGAATGACCCATGCACAAGCAAACGCAATAAAAACACAAGGCCAGACGAGGGGCCCCAGCCTCACACGTGGCATGCGTCAGGATGGTTGCCGACTGAAATCTGGTCAACTCCAGAAGAGTTAAATACCAGACCGACTGTTTAACCAGCTTGAAACGACCTCGTAGGTGGTGATGGTTTTCAACATAATCAACGTTGTTATCAACACTAACAATATCACAGTGGCACACAGTTGAAAAGGTTATAAAAGTTGCTGTCGCCAAGAGAATCAGCTGATCATATAAGCCCCATACTCCCAGCTACTGTGGGTGTAGAGGGGTTTTACAGTGTTAACCAGTTTAACCTCTTTCCAAAAAATTTGACCGGGTCACTACCCAGAGAGTTTTTAGCTATGGGATCTCAGCTCTCAATAGTTTTCTCATTTTACAGATGAATCTTATTTGCATATGATATGACGGTTGCATTGATAACTTTTTAATGCTCAAAATTGGCCTTTGTCTGGTTTACTCAGCCATATGAAGCATAAACCTCCCAATCACCATTCTACGTCTGCAATTCACCTTTTCCCATCCTCTCTTAAACAACTGTACACCTGGAGTTTGCCTGTTCCTTCGAACACAGAAAGACTCAGTTGACTCGTAACATAATCAGCTCATCCAACACTCACAGTATTTCACCATCACAATAGTTTAGCCAATTGTCACTTTTTTCCAATTCCCAGCCCTGATCTTAAACCCTGTGCTGTGCATCTGCTGAGCTTGACAGACCAAACACTCCTTGTCTCCAGTTAGACCCATAATGAGCTCTTTTAGCATCATATCACAAAGATACGACAACTTTTTATTCTATGTTTATCCACACATTACATATAAAAAATGTTAATTGTAATAATGTGTTTTATTTTGATTTCTCTGGTTTTTTAATGACCTCTCACGCCAGTGGCTCTTATTCAGTCCTACCAACCGTTGCTTTTAATATAAATCCATTTTATATCTCCTCTCGGTGACTTAGGACATACATTGAGACGCATTTTACTGCTGATAAAAAATACAATCAAGCCAGCAATAGGTCCATACAGTATCAGTGGGTTCACTACTGATTGCTAGCCATCTGGTGGGCTCTGTTGGCGATAGATAGGAATAATTGGAATCCTCTTATCATTTTTCAGATTCTTGTTCTGCTGTGTACAGGCTATTTCGCTGCCTTCTGTGGTCCCGATCCGAGTAAAAGCTTGGAGATGTTTGTTGCCTCCGTCGGCTTGAAGCAAGGGGATCTAGAGTATATTTCGTCTGATCTCCATCTTCATTCAGTGTTTAGTGTGGAGATGAGAGAGCTGATACAATTGCTATGGCAGCTCGTGTCTGTTTGAGTGAAAGTAGAGTATAAAATCTGTTTGGGAAAGAGTATGATGTATAAGTATCATAAAAAGTGTTGTCAAAAGCAGTGGCAATAATATGAGGGGAGATATGAGAAAAGGGAGCATTATTTTAATTCTCAGCCTCTTGTGCAAAAGTATTAGGCCTGTGTGGAAATCTAGCCCGGGCAAATCAGGTAAAGGATTGTTGAGATTGTGGCTGGGCATTGTGAGCTAGCAGCATATTTGGAAATCATTGTGCAAGCTTCGTGTTGTGATTTTGTCGTGGGTGGTCAACCTGTATCGGTGCCTCATGTGTTTTTTGTTTTGTGCTCTATTCTCACAGAAAGACAGATTATGTTCAAGGCAGCTGTCAGTTCTTGGATTAGCATATTTTCATTAAAATGCATTGTTCGTCCACTGAACGCACCATAAGAGCACAATAAGTATTTTTTCAGCCTTTCAACCAACCTGTTTCTTTATTGGAGCCAGTTCTGTTCTGTCTCTGTGCCGTGTGAGCTCCTCGGAACATTAAACAGTGCGCTGACAGATTAGAAATAACGTAAGTACTTTGAATGGTAATAGATCTACAGTACTTTCCTCTGATTACTCACGTGCTACAACGCTCAGGGAACGAAAAAAAACACTTGCTTCACGCTGGCTAACTTTTAGAAATTAAACAGTTGCTCAGTGCTTCATTTTGGCGCTGAAGAAGACAGCCAATCACTGCAGAGAACGGAACGGGTCACGTGCTGCTGCTGCTGCTGCTGCTCTGGAGGCGAGGAGGAGGCGCGACGTGTGCACAAACGGAAGACATGTGTCCCGGACCGTCCGGGTCACGGGCAGTGGCGGAGCCAGACTCTTAAACAGAGGGTGGCCAGGGGGTGGCAAGGGTTTTTTTGAGGGGTCCACATTTATACTATTCCGAAATTTTATTTCGCACAAAAACTGGCTAAACGATACATTTTAATCTTAATCTTGTCATTATTTTTAATATAAAGTGAACTGAGAGCACACTTGGAAACTCCATCCATCCATCCATCCATTTTCTACCCTTTAATCCATTTCTGGGTCAGGGGGGTGGCAGTCAGAGATGCCACCCAAGTCTCATAGCACCAGCCCCTCACTGACCCTCTGCAGGTGGTGAGTCCACAGGAGGACGGCTGCTCTCTGAGTGTGAGCAGAGCCTTGATCTTTCAGTGGGGGCTTATGGCAAAGTGGGGTTAAGTGTCTTGCCCAAGGACACAACGACAGCAGTCATCAGTGGGAGTCGGTGGAGAAGGTGCAGAGGTGGGAATTGAACCCACAACCTTCTGGCCACAAGGCCAATGCTCTACCAACTGAGCTACTGTCGCCCCATGCACTTGGAAACTACAAAGCAAAAAAAAAAAAGTGTATTTAAATAGTAGTCTGAACAAAAAAAGTGCAAAATAACATCATTCAAACATTGCATTACATTTTTTCTTTTAACAAATTTAGCAAATTCCTACGGTTCTGGTGTAAAGCAGCAAAGATGTTGACAAACTCATCCATATTCAGCCCTGAGCCTTCCTTTACCCTACACTGAGGATACCAAGATGACTCAATCATCTGCCATGGTCGTTCTGAGATGGTTTTTAATAAGTTTTAGGACAGAGAAACTTATTTCACAAGACGCAGTACTGACAGGTATTAAAAAGATCTTTGCAAGCCTCAAAAAAAAGCTCATGAAACACTTTCCAAACGTTCCCCGTTTTGGGGTCAAGCGACTGCACATCATCCATAATCTTAGCTATTTTGTTTCTTTTTTTGTGTGTGAAAAAACGCCTTCTGCCAACAGACAATCCTGCACCTGTCTGCGACACCCT